TCCTTCAGGCTTTTTCTGTTTATGTGGTGCTGAGGAATCAAACCCAAGGCCTCATGCACGCAAGGCAAGCACTCCACCACTGAGCCACCTTCTTTTTAATTTTTTTAAAATTTTATTTTTTATTATAAAGTTGATGTACAAAGAGGTTATAGTTACATAAGTCAGGTAAAGAATCCATTTCTTTTTGACTAAAGATGAGACTAAGGGGCTGAGAAGGTGGCTTAGTGGTAGAATGCTTCCCTACCATGCATGATGCCCTGGGTTTCATTCTTCAGTATCATATAAACAGAAAGAGCTGAAAATGGCTCTGTGGCTTGAGTGATAGAGGGCTAGCCTTGAGCAAAAGCAGCTAAGGGACAGTGCACAGGCCCTGAGTTCAAGCTCCAGGACTGGAGAGAGAAAGAGAGAGAGAGAGAGAGAGACTTTTATTTTTCTTGGTTGGATGTGGGGCTTGAACTTTGGACCTGGGTGATGTCCTCAAGCTCTTCAGCTCAAGGAGAGTGCTCTACCACTTGAGCCACAGAACCACTTCTGTATTTCTGGTGGTTAATTGGAAATAAGAATCTCACTTTCTTACCTGAGCTGGCTTTGAACTGTGATCCTCAGATCTCATCCTCCTGAGTAGCTAGGATTACAGGTGTGAGCCACTGGTGCCAGCCTTTTTCCTTTTGTGCCTATACTGGGGCTTGAACTTAGAGCCTGGGCAGTGTCTCTCAGCTTTTTTGCTCAAGGCTAGAATTCTACCTTTTGAGCTATAGTTCCATTGCCAGCTTTTTGGTGGTTAACTTGAGAAAAGACTCTTACAGACTTTCCTGCCTGGGCTGGCACTGAACCATGGTTCACACATCTCAGCCTCTTGAGTAGCGGGGATTTATATGCATGAGCGAGCCATTGATATTTGGAAGACCAAGTTTCTGAAACAAAACAAAAAAAAATCAGGCTGGGAAGGTGGCTCAGTGATAGAGTACTTGCCTCAAATGCATGAGGCTCTGGGTTCGATTCCTCAGCACCACATAAACAGAAAAAGCTGAAAGTGGCACTGTGGCTCAAGTGGTAGAGTGTAAATCTTGAGCTGAAGCGCTGAGGGACAGTGCCCAGGCCCAGAGTTCAGGACTTTATGCATGTTAGTCAAGCACTCTACTGTAAGCCACATTCTCAGCCCTATACTGACTTTTTGATTTCTTTGTAAAAGAAAGTTATTTTCATGTGTCATCCCACACGCAGAATTTCCTGTTCATTTATGGCCTTTCCCTCAAAGACAGCAGTGTTTAAGCCTAAGGAAAGTGGTATTAGAGGGGAAAAAATGCTACCTAGCTTTTTCTCTCTTTTTTTTTTTTTGTTGGTCATGGGGCCTGAACTCTGGAGTTTTACTTGGTTTTGTTACCAGTTTTCATCTGAATCTGCTGGGGAATGGGGCGATTTTTGTGGCCAGGAAGCACTTGATTCTGAAAATTGCTCAGAGAAGACATGGTAAGAAACCCAACCGAGCACACTGATCCCAATGGTGAACAGCTGATCAGTGCCAGGTGCCTGCTGGTGGCTCACACCTTACTCCTAGCTACTCAGGAGGCAGAGAACTGATCATTGTGGTTCAAAGTTAGCCAGGGCAGGAAAGTCCTTGACACTCCAGTTAACTACAAAAATTTGTTTTTTTTTTTGGGTCCGGTCGTGGGGCCTGAACTCTGGGCCTGGGCACTGTCCCTCAGCTCTTCAGCTCAAGGCTAGCGCTCTACCACTTGAGCCACAGCGCCACTTCCAGCTTTTTTCTTTTTGCTTATGTGGTGCTGAGGAATCGAACTCAGGGCCTCTGGCATGCAGGGCAAGCACTCTACCACTGAGCCACCCTCCCAGCCCAACCACAAAAATTTGTAAGTGGAGCTGTGGCTCAAGTGATAGCGTGCTACCTTTGAGCAAAAATACTCAGGGAGCCAGGAGCCAGTGGCTCACACCCGTAATCCTAGCTACTCAGAAGGCTGAGATCTGATGGTTCAAAGCCAGTCGGCAGGAGCATCCATGAGACTCCTGTCTTCAATTAACCACCAGAAAAGTGGAAGTGGCACTGTGGCTCACCTGATAGAGTGCTCACCTTGAGCTGAAGAGCTCAGGGACAGTGCCCAGGCCCAGAGTTCAAATCCCTACGACTGACAAATAAATACATACTTAAGGACAGTGCCTAGGCCCGGAGTGTAAATTCCCCCACCCTCCAGTAAATTGGGTTAGTATTTTGTACTGAAGGCACTTTGTACATGTTTTTAAGTTCTTGTTCCACTTTAATAAAACAACATCACAGGCAATGTACCACTGATGTGGTTTATGGCAGAAAGGTATGCTGAATTCCAAACAGTAAACTTACTCACAGGAGAGTTCTGGTCCCTATATCAGAAGACTGGCTTTTTTTTTGGTCTGAGACTGGGTTTTGAATTTGTTATCTGATGTTTTCACTCATTCATTGGCTCATTGGCTGATGCTTTACCACCAGAGCTACACTTCCAACTCCTATCATATATTAATTCTATTATTTAAAATAATATTTAAGATCTCTATGTTTACTTGTGGTGAAAACTGATAAATGAAGCAGAGCTTTAATGAGCAATTGGAACTAAATTTGGTAAATTAGGGAGATTTAGCTTAAGAACATAAAGAGGATAGAGGCCTCAAAGGAAACTAATAAAAAAATGTAATAAACCTACTGGGAAATTTTAATCAAGAAGTTTAATAGAAATAAATCATTACTAACACTAAAAGCTAACATTTAACTGAATTCATATTGCATGCAGGCACTATCCTATTTTTTTAAATTTAATTTTGTTTTATTTGTGAACATACTGTACAGAGGGGTTACAATTACATGGTCAGGATAATGTGTACATTTCTTACCAAGCATTGCATCCTCCTCCTTTGTTTACCCTTCACATCCCTTCCCAGCCTCCCCCCTCCCCCCACTATCCTATTTTTCCCTGAATTATCTTTTAATTTTTTTCTTTATAATTTTAGGACCTGAATACTTCTGCATGTTAAAGAGCTAGAAAGTGAAATAGATTTTCTGATCAGTGGGAGAAATTGTGATTTTCCTGATGAGAGAATATACTAGGAAAATGATATAAGAAATCTGAAAAGCAAACTACACATTACTATCATTAAGTGTTCTTAATATGTAGCCAATATTCATTTAAAAATACAAGGTTCTCCTTTTTAAACAGGTGGCTTAATAATTCACTTTTCAGTGTCAGTTCTGTGGATCTAAGTTTACTAGAAATCAAATGTCTGGACTTACAGCTCCACATGGATAAAGCAGTGAGGATTCTAAGAGAATCTGTGTCAACACTAGTTCAGAAACTAAAATTGTCTTGTTACCACTTTAAAAGCAATGCTGGTGTGGTAGTCACACACCTATAGTCTCATCTACTTGTGATGCTGAAATGAGACAGTGAACACTTGAGCCCAAGTCTTACTAGCCTGGGTAAACTTAGAAAACAAAAGGAAACTTTAGTTTTCAGAAAACTAAAGCTCTCAGAAAACAAAAGAAAAATTAAGTTCTAACGTACCGTTCTCTGATTTTCCCTTCAAAATGTGAATGGGGTTTAAAAATGATTTCTAGAATAAGTATTAAAAAAAATTCTGCCGAGTAGGACAAGCGACGGTAGGAATCACTTCTTTAAAAAAAATTCCCAAATCCTTAATGATTAAAGTAAGGCAAATTTATTTAGGAAGGGCTGTGGTAATAGGCATAAGGATTGCTGTAGAAGTATCTTGCAGGGGGCGAAGAGACTGGAATCATTTCCCTTACTTATAAAGCATTCTTCTGTTTGTCTTAGTTATGCCAAATTTTGTGTACAACCCCCCCATACTCATTTTAATGTAATTACAAGAGCAAACGCCCAAAGCTGTCCAGGAAAGAGCTATGGATGAACCGAGTAAAAATGGAAAAGTTGTACGCGGAAACTAGTACAAACGTTTTAGCGTTGGGATTGTGACCTACCACCGGGTTAAGAGCGAGGTTCACCACCGTCGAATCAGAGCACTCGAGCTTTTGGCAGTTTTGCTGCTATTCGCCATTGGTAAATTGGAATGACACCCCAGATACAAAGCTGTATCCAGGGTAAGTCAGACACAAAGTCGTTTACGAAAAGCCGAAAAGCTCGATGCAGAATTAAACTCCGTTTCCCCTCCACCCCCGGTGTCGGTTGATTAGTCTCGTCGTGTGAAACGGCGCCGGAGAAGGTGCAAAGTTGCCAGGTTTTCTTACCTAGATTGGACTGTCGCCCTCGCTTCCCGGCCTGGCACATCCCACCCAAACGCCTTTGGCTCACTAACGGCCATCGAAGGGAAGCTTCCCGCCATTTCCATTCCGAGGGAAGGAAGGCCAGATCCTACCACCCGCTCAACTAACTCCCCCATTTCCTACACTCGTGGGAGGCCCGAGCTAGCCAAGCTTTTCCCGCAGCGACCAGGAAACTATCCCTAGGATTCCGGGGATGAAGCCAGTAGGCCACCAACCAAGGTTCTCGGCAAGTGCACGGCAACGGCACAAAACCCCGGAGCTTCCAATAACCGGCAGCAAGATGAAGCCCCAAAAAAAGCGTTTGTATCGTGACCCTGAGCCCGCCAAGGGAGGCGGGAGCCCGGCCGTGGGCACCAGAGAGTGAAGGCTGGGGGTGGAGGGCGGGCTCGCTCAACTCGACTCCTGATTGGTCCGTCCTCGGGGGAGCCTCGTGACGTCAGCAGGGGGGAAACGCCTGATTTGTGTGGTGGGCGCTGGCAGGCGGGGGGGAAGAGCTGCGCAGGCGCAGTTGCTCCGCTCCGCTAGCCTTGGCTCTCCGGCCCAGCTCTCGCGGACAAGTCCCGACATCGCGCGCCCCCCCCTCCGGGACCGCCCCCTCCTCCCTCTCGGCGTCGAAGATAAACAATAGTTGGCCGGCGGGCAGCGAGTGCGTCTCCCGCCGCCGGGTTCGGCGGGCTGAGTAGGGGGTGGGAGGGGGGGGACCGGCGGGATCCCGGCCAGCCGGCCATGGCGGGGCTGTACTCGCTGGGAGTGAGCGTCTTCTCCGACCAGGGCGGGAGGAAGTACATGGAGGACGTTACTCAGATCGTGGTGGAACCCGAGCCGACTGCTGAGGAGACGCCGTCGCCGAGGCGGGCGCCGGTTCCGCCGTCGCTTTCGCAGCCGGCTCCTCCCGCTCTTCCTGGAGCCGGAGTCTCGGGGAGAGGCCCGGCGGCCGCAGCCCGAGGCTCCCGTGACCCTTCTCCGGACGCCGCCGGAGCCTCTTCGGGCATCGGCCGCTGCTGTCGCCAGCGCTCCTCGGTCGCTTTCTTCGCCGTGTGCGACGGGCACGGCGGGCGGGAGGCGGCACAGTTCGCCCGGGAGCACTTATGGGGTTTCATCAAGAAGCAGAAGGGCTTCACCTCCTCTGAGCCCGCCAAGGTTTGCGCCGCCATCCGCAAGGGCTTCCTCGCTTGTCACCTCGCCATGTGGAAGAAACTGGGTAAGTTCCCAGGCTGGTTTGGCGCCGCTTTTATTTTTATCATTTTTTAAATTTTTTTCAGGGTTCTGAAAAAAATAATAATAACGTCCAGAGTCGCCCCAGCCCCATGAGCGCTGTCGGCAAAGTGATGTCAGCGAAGACTAAGCCCGGGGCCCACGACGCCGGTCAGGGTCCACGTCCGGGCACTCGGAGTGGCCTGGCGAAAGATAAGGGGTTTCTGTATCCCAGCAACCACTCCTCGCTTTCTATCTCCCCTGCAAGGATCGGGGGGGGGGGTGGTGGAAGCGATCGCTCTTCCCTTTTCTCTGATTCACTTTGGTGACCGTCAGCAAAAAGATGATTGAAACCCGGCGCCAGATTTTGACCGAAAGATCAGTTGAAGAGGCACTCTTCCTTCGAGAGTCGGGCCAGAGGAAGCGGGAGAAGGCAAAAAATTAGCATCTGTCATAATTTTGCTCTTGTTGGTTAGGTTTTTTTTTTTTTTTTGTTCCTCTCTGTTGCCTCCTACTGGTGGTGTCATTTCTCCAAATTGACCTCGATGGCTCATTGGAGTAAAGCGTAAGCTCATTTAAAAGGGCTGCCATGTAATCATCCAGCAATTTAGAAGTCTCGGAAGGAATTCTTGTTGTGTCGGTCATGTTTTCAGATCGTCAGCTTGTACTGCTGATGAGAAAGGAAGACCTCTTAAATTGGAATTGGCCACACGTTTAGCCTGTTAAGTTCTGCAAGGTTTTTGTTTCTTTTTTTTTTGGTGGGAGTTGGGTTGCCAGTTGCTTTTAAGTAGTTCTCAAGAGTTGCTGGTAGAAAAGGGCTTATAAATTTTAAATGCTCATTGAGGTAGCAAAAGGAATTTGTAAAAATTGGATGGAGTTGTAGTTTGATCTTAAATTTGAATGTTTTGTAAGATATTTTTGCTCTTAGCATATATTATACAGGACTATAGTTTCTTGTCTACTGCTGTGAGTAAAATGTACACACATCTCTGTTAGTGAAAAGAAGCGATGCTCTTCTGTGGTTAAAAAAAAAGCCCTGTTAGTGCTGCAAATGTGGCTTAATGGCAGAGTGCTTGCCTAGCATGCATGAACCCCTGGGCTTGATTCCTCAGTAACACATAAACAGAAAAAGCCAGAAGTGGCTCTGTGGCTGAAGTGGTAGAGTGCTAGTCTTGAGCAGAGACAGCCTAGTCCCAGATTCAAGCCTTATGACCGGTTAAAAAAAAAAAAAAAAAAGCAAACAACCCTTTTATTAAAAAATTCCTTAATAATTTTTCCACCAGTAGAACATAGATAGAGGAAACTCACAAACTTGTAAAATACAGGACATATTTAGAAAGGTATTGTTCTAGAGTTGTGAAAAAGCTAGTTTCCAAGTCTGTTTTCCATTTGCTTGGCTTTTGGCCAAGAAGTATTTGATTGATTCAAGGCTCAACCACTAGGCCTTTTGGAGGCGGCTCCTATGTAATCCCAGGGGCTCATATTATGGATTTATTTTGTTTGTGTGGGCAGAGTAGAGCTGAAAGCACTGCAGTATATTCTAGAAGTGTGTCATCCCTGACTGTAAAGGAACTAAAAGTAGATAGCAAAGCAACAAGATAGAGGAAGATGAGACACAAAGAACTCTGTAGAATCCTGTTTATTTGCAGTACACTTGGGCAGTGTGAATTTGCCAAATGTTCAAAAAAAGCTTTTTTTTTGGTTGGTCGTGGGGCTTGAACTCTGGGCCTGAGCGCTGTCCTGCAGCTCTTCAGCTCAAAGCTAGCGCTCTACCACTTGAGCCACAGCACCATTTTCAGTTTTCTGGTGGTTTATTGGAGATAAGAGTTTCACGGACTGGCTGGGAAGGTAGCTCAGTGGTAGAGCGCTTGCCTTGCATGTGTGAGGCCCTGGGTTCGATTCCTCAGCACCACATAAGCAAAAAAGCAGGAAGTGGTGCTGTGGCTCAAGTGGTAGAGTGCTGGCCTTGAGCTGAAGAGCTGAGGGACAGCGCCCAGGCCCAGAGTTCAAGCC